TCTTCATGGCGTCGTCGTCGTCCAGCGGCATATCCCAGGGGTACTCGTCCTCGACAATGTCCTTGAAGCCGTCGCCGTTTTTCAGCACGTCGTACGCGTACCGGATGCCCTCGCGGACGGCGATAATGTCCAGGTCGTCGTTGAAATAGTTGAGGTTAATGTTGGCCTGCTGCAGGGGGTCGGCGCTGTTGAGGGTGACCTCGCCGCCCTCGGAGACGGGCCGCACGAGGTCGACCATGACGGTCATGTAGCTCCCCTTGTTGGGGTGCGGAAAGTGCCACTGGAAGGCGCTGCCAAACAGCGGGATAAAGTCGAGCTCAAAGTGCGGCTGGCCGTATGGGCAAAAGGGGTCCCGGCCGTCGTTGGCCGCCTTGGCCTTGCGATACTCGGGAGACCTCTCGAGGTACTTGTCGATGCGGGGGAAGCCAATCATTTCGAGAAACGGCGATGCCATGGCGCCGGTGTGGCCCTTGGCGTAGGCGGACAGGACTTGGTCTTGGAGAGGGCCCTTTCGCAGGACGTGGCTGTCCATGGAGTAGCTGTCCTTGAGGCGGAGGCAAAAGGGGACGCCGGGATGGTCAAGCAGGTGCTGGCCGACGTGGCGCGAGTCGACGAGCAGGGGGATGCCGTGCCGGGCCAGCTCGGGGGCCGGTCCGATGCCGCTCAGCATGAGGAGCTTTGGGGACTCAAAGACGCCCTCGGAGACAATGACCTCGCGGGTGGCGTAGAAGCTTAGCTCCTGGCCCGAGGCGGCAATGACGGTGACGCCCTTGGCGGTGCGGTCGGCGTCGTCAATGATGAGTTTCTTGGTGTGGACTTCGGGGAGGATGGTAATGTTGGGCTTGCCGGCGACGGCGAGGAAGCTGCCGGACCGCCGACCCTTGTAGATGGTGTTGATGCTGTGGACGAGGCCGCGCATCTCGCCGTCAAAGATGTTTTCCGTGAGCGGCTCGCCCGTGGACTGCCAGGCCCGGGTCAAGAGGTCGCGGAACGGCTTCATTTCCGGCATCAGCTCGGCGTGGGCAATGGGAATGGGACCGCCCGAGCCAATCTTGTGAAGCTCCTTGGGGTACAGGCCGGCGTCGTCGTGATATGTGACGCTCTTGCGAAGGTACGGCACCAGGGGGTCCCACGTCCACTCCTTTCCTCCGTACTCCTCCCACATGTCAAACGTGCCCTTGGATCCCGGCACCCACGAGAAGTAGTTGAGGGACGAGCTGCCGCCGAGGGCCTTGCCGCGCGTATTGGGCTTCTCGATGCGTTCGTAGTCGTCGCGCTTGACCATGGTTGTCTTGTAGGCCCAGTCGTACTGACTGCCTCGGATCTCCATGGCCCGCCCGGGGGTTCGGATCTCTTCATTGTCAATCGAGTCGCCAATGCCGGCTTCCACGACCAGAATCCTGGCGTTGGGGTTTTCGGCCAGGCGAGCAGCAACAGTGTTGCCAGCCGTGCCGCCGCCGACGACGATGAAGTCGAAGCGGGCACCGTCTTTGGCAGCCATGGTGGGGGTTTTGATGAGATGGTTAAAAGTATGTTTAAAGGGTGTGTCTGGGTTTAAAAGGGTATGCCTGGGTTGGTGCTCGACAATTATTCGGACTTGTGCCGGGATTTATATACTTGACTGCATGTCGTACTGTCGCCACATTGGGAAGTAGTAAACTGCCGCGCAAGATCAGCAGCAACCCCAGACGGCTGAGACGTCAAAGCGATATATCACAGTCCGCTGTGGAGTCGGCACTGGAGAAGGGGCGCAATATTGACCATATCTGATTCAAGGTTTCAGTAAAGGAACTGACCATTCGGAGGGTTCCGGCGGACATGAAGTGGTCTGAGTGGCCAACTCTCACGATGATAGGCAGTGCTTTTGGCTAGCTCCATGCAGCACCCGCTTGGCGTACAAATAATGTGACGACGGCTAACAGATTAGGTTTTGAAAACCTCTGACCCTATGCCGGGTGATCCGTCGGTCTTGGAGATGCTACAATGGTCAAAGTGACGACTCGAGTTGCTACTGTCACCAACTGCTGGCACTAGCCGTGTTTGGAATGAGTATTTGTCGCGCAGCTCACAAATCATGGCTGTCAACTACCAAGCGGAGGCCTGCAGATGGAGATGCATCATGACTGGCGCATTATTGTTTTGTATAACAGTAGCAGAGCCAAGGACCTGGCTAGCAAGCGGCTCGTTCGCAACTGGCAGTGATTGACGTAACAATCTTTTGTTAAAGCCCAAGGACACACAATTCTTTGATACGCTTTCACAGTGTCGGGGAATCGACGTATTGGGATCGGGGGAGCTTTTCATTGGCCGAGTGCATTTTCCTAACCAAGTAAGCGCCCGCTAGCTGCCGTGCCATGTGGGGAATAAACGGAAGCTTCCGCGACTCCGAGCCAATCAACCATGCGGCTTGACGCAGGACAAAGTTTACGAGGACAACATGTGAGAGACTGAGTTGAGTCATTTTACCAGAGACCGAACGCCGCCATGCTACTTGGATTCCAGTAAGCCAAATTGATGCCATTTCTACATTGCAACCTACGCTATCATGTCGCGAGACGACCCCGTCAAATTTTTGTCGTCTAAACTGCCCAGCTTCTGCCGCCAGCGCCACCAAATAAAGGTCCTCCGTCTCCGACCATAGACAGACGTAAAATTACGCCCGTTGCCTGGGATTGTTATTATTCGCAAGCAAGTTGGGCGAACCCTTCAGGTCACCCTTGACCTTGTCCTTTGTGGCAGTCTGCGTGAGAAACTCGAGGACATCTTTGCTACTCTTGCCAAAGACGGCCATGGCATTCAACGCCAGCGCCGCAACGTGGGGTGCGGCCATTGACGTCCCAGACAGCGTCTTTGTGGCAACGTCGCTCGTGTTGGAGAGGGACAGGATTTTGCCCCCGGGGGCGAGAATATTCACCTTGCATCCAAAGTTGGAGCTCGGGGCCACGCTCCAGTCCGACCGGATGGATCCCACCGTGATGGCCTCGTCTGCGCACGCAGGCGACGCCCCGGCCGCGTCTTTGGCGTCGTTGCCGGCAGAGGTAATGGTCAAGATGGGCCCGTTGGGGCGGTTAAAGGCCCGCTCGACAATGGTATTCCAGGCCATCGAGAATTTCCTCCCCCCAGAGTAGTTGATGACGGCACTGTTCTGGCGGCCCTTTTTGATGATGTCGTTCATGGCAAAGGTGAAGCCCAAGATGGCCTGAGACGTCAAGACCTGGCCGTTGGGGCCAAAGACCTTGACAGAGAGCACGCGGGCCTGCTTGGCGACGCCGTAGGTTTTGGCGGCAATGATGCCGGCAACGTGGGTGCCGTGGCCGCTTTCGTCGTCAAAGTCGTCCTGGTTGTCGGCCGTCTTGAACGCTGTCCAAAAGTTTTCGGCGCGGCCCTCGAATTCCTGATGCGTCGTTCGAATGCCCGTGTCGAGAACGTAGGCATAAAGGGTCTTGTCCTTGGGCCAGGGCGTGTAGAGATAATCCGAGTTGCGAAACATGTTGAGTCGTGTGGGCGCAGACCGGTGAGAGATGGCTTGGAGGTTCCATGGCGCCTTGGACTGCGCTGCCGTCTTCGGTTTTGCCGGGGGGGCGGCCGAGACGAGGCAAGAGAAGGCGGCGAGGAGTATTGAGATCTTCATTGGGTGACGATTTAATTGGCTTTTAAGCTTTATAACCCGGAATACTAGCAGTGATGGAGTCTGTTTGAGACGAGTAAATATACAAGACGCAAAGCGGGCGGAATGACTAGGCCTTTAAATAACACCGGCTCCGGGGCCCATCGGGGACCTCGCCGGGGCCGGCTTTATGGATTGGGAGGTCGTGATGCTGGCGTCAGCCACATTTTTCATAACCAGTTGCCGATGCGTATTTTCTTTATTGATTCATTAAAGTGTAGAGGACGCTTTTATTACATGTTAATGAACATGTATAGCGGGAGGCTGCACCCGGCGTACTGCTCGCCAACGTAAACCCGGCCACCAACTTTTATCCCGCCTTACCGAATCGGAAAAAAAAAAAAAAAAAAAAGAGACACTTTTTTCCTCGCTCCCCTAGCTATGAAAAGTGACAGGGATTTCTTCCTTCCAATCTATTGCTTTGGTGCCGCATTGACCGACTTGCGGAAATGCACAATCCGGAGTGGCCGTGGGTGTCAATGTGGCGTGATTTGGCGAGTCCGTGTGTTGGAAAGCAACAAGATGACTTGGCTATCGACGTGGTATTCTTTGCGCGAGTCGTAGCAGACAGAGTGCAACGGACAACCGACGCGGCCGCGTCGTGTGTAACAGCAATGAGTCCCGCGTTGTACAACAGAATGGGTCGCCAGAGTTGATGCCGGGAGAGTTCCGGTAGCTGGCGCGCCATGGGAGACGCGTCGTTTGCCGCGTCATACAGTCGCTCGAATCAGTTCTTGCTGCGGCCATGGTTGCAACCTAGTGGACAACTCGGAGCCTGAAAGCCTAGCAGGGTGAATGGGGTCATACCAAATAAGAGAATTATGTAGAGGTGTGGTAAAAAAAGTTGAAATCTCTTATCGAGACAGGTCACAGATCACTACTCCCTTGCCATTAAGCTTATATTATAGTTAAAAGCAAAAGCGTATCAACTCGGGTCCCTGCATATAATCCCCACAGACTCCCTGTCGCTGCCCAGACTTGCAAGGGTTGGAGTAAAGCCGAGCAAAGATGGAGGATGCAAGTGATCCGTGGGCCATGCGATAAGGCATGATTATAATGTAGAATATACCACAAGTCCCATAGTGACCCCTGTTGTCCTGACTCCTGACCGCCTCGGGGCAAGCGGAACAGTCCATGGCTCGGTATTATTGTACATGGTTGCTGAGTATAGCGGCAGTCGTTTACAGAAATGACTGCCGTTTCCCTTTCTTTGCTTTAAATAATGCTCAGTCAATACATCTTGCCCTGTTTTCATGCTCGCTCTAGTTCACCAACACTCTTTACACTTGTAGGCCTCCCTCGCGACATAGTTTCAATCGCTGCACAGCTCACAATGAAGTGCTTCCATTGGGCTGTTGTCCTTGCTGCTCTGCTTCAAACGGCAGCTACAGAAGAAACCTCGTCCAGCAATGGCGCCCAGCCGCTGGGGTAAGACAAGCCCCGACAAGGACGTGAAAAAGATAGTGCTGACCGTATTCAAGCCACATTGTGGTCCTCAAGGAAGAATTAGAGTCTAGACACCTCGACAGTCATCTTGAATGGGTAAAATCTGTCCACAAGCGCAGCCCGGATAATGATGGCGAGACCTATCAGGGCGTAAAACACACGTATGACGGGGAGGACTATGGGTTTCTTGGCTACGCGGGGCACTTTCCGCCGAGTGTGCTTGAGAATATAAAACGACACGAGCATGTAAGTCGTTACTCTGCAACACTTGTCGTCTTCTGTCAAGCTAAGTCTGCAGGTTGACTTTGTAGAGCGAGACCAGGCCATTACCCTCGTGCTTCCCGGAGAAGAAACGCCAGAGAGCCAAGTGGTTTCCCAAGATGACAACAAGCAGAGCAGCAGGATTATAGGCCGTGGCGGTTTGACCATGGGACAGGGGTAAGCGTGCCTCGTCGCAGACTGATGGCTTTTCTAACGTGATCAGGTACAATACGTTTTTGGACAAGGGAGCGATTCACAACGCCGTCCTCTTTAGCGAGGGAATGAATAAGAGAAGCGAAAATTCTACAGCAGAGTTGGTCAACCAGGACATGATGACGAGGTTCAACTTTACGCCGCCCAGCGCAGACTTGACGGATATCGACATGTCGTACTTTGACCGGCCTGATCCACGCGCTCTCATAGAACAAGTCCTTGCCGGCTTGGCCAGGGACGGAAAAAACACGACTGCACTCACCAAACGACACACGAGGACTGCTGGCCAAGACGAATGCAACGGTAGCATGCGTTTTACGTCGGAGCTGGTCGAAAATTACGAGCAAGTCCCACCCAACGTCCCAAGTGCTTGTTGTTTTATCTTCATGACACAAGCATCGACAACGTCTGATACAAATCAAGTCTTGTTAACACGACTCGCCAGGTCATATCTGCAGACGCTTGAAATAAGCGGCGGCGCAACTCTGTCCGGCTGGGGCCAAAGTGCATCCGTGTCGGGTGCTTACCTGAACAAGGCAGAGGCAAGTCTCTGTTGACCAATCCACGGAAAACCTTGATAACAAGAATTGTAGTTTTCCAAGAAATCCGTAATATTTGTAGCCATAATCAACATTGAGAGACAGCTCGACTCGCCCACCGGATTCGAATTCAACACGCACAACTATAAACCCAAGACGTTTAATCGAGACTTTGGCGACAAATGGATCCAAGGCAAGTCGCAAAGACAAACACATGGACCACACACGGCTAAACAGCGCCCTAGGCTTCCACGAAGGCGGGAAAATGATTGCTCGGGTAACTTTTACCGCCAAGAGTCAAATTGCCAAGAACGACCTCCAAGCGCAGTACGGTTTCGTCCCTGTTTGAACGCTCGGCAACGCTAACTGCTGCCCAGGGCCAAGGCTTCGTTGCGATTCTGGGGTGTATCCGGGGACATTGAAGCATCTGCCAAGAAGAGCATGGAGGACGTGAACACAAACGCCGACGTGGAGATTAAGCTCTTCTACCAAGGAGAGCTGGGCCGGTTCATGCTGCAGTCGGGCTCCCCGTCGAGCATCAGCGAGGGCACCGCGCAGGCGTCGTTTCTGCAGGCCAAATCGTGGGCTGACCAGTTTATCCAAAACGCCTGCCAGCACCGCTACGCGTACCGGTAAGAGCATCGTGGACTCGCGTCGGGGGTTGGATATTTATCATCTCGACAGGCCGCTTCTCGACGAGTACAGAAACATAGAGGGCTTCCCTGACGACCAGGTCGTGCCCGACTATTACGTTGCGCATAGAATGGTGTGTTGCCCTCTTGCCCGTCTGGTACATGTACTAAACGAATGGTTCTAGTCGTACATGATTTTGAGTCAGATTGTTGTCATTTCCGACATGAAGGACTATCTGCTGAGCCGTACGCCTCGTAGCTGCAAGCGTTTTTTCCCTTTCTAACCTTGTCTAGGCACCGATCTTGACATCAAGCTCAAGTACAGCATCCAGGTTGACGAAATAAAAATGGTGCAGCTGGGCAGGAACTGGGTATTCCGCATGGCCAAAAAAGACGGGGAAAGCAAAATACTAACGTGGATATAGGTCAAATCTACCGTTGAAAAGCCAGAGGATGCCATAACAACCGCAGGGGACCTCCTTGAAAAGTTTGACAAGGACTTCCGCGCCAAGTACGAAATGCTCATGCCGCAGAAACCGTACATTGCCGGAGTCAAGGTAAGAGCGTATTCCGCGAGGCATTTACCGCTGCTAAGTATAAATAGGTCGTCTACGGCGGATACCCAAACACGGACCCGCCGGCGGGCAGGGTCAAGGAAGTCGAGGGCCGTTCTGAAGATATTAATTACGGTCGGGGCGGAGAGTGAGTTGTGGCTACTCGCCCTCTACGACATGAATTAACACTCTGCAGTTTTGTTTGGCTTGTTCCGATCCGTACGGAGCACGCCGAGGATGCTTGCACCTCTTTTGAACTCGTCATCGACCAAGTCCCCGACGAGTTTGGAAACCTGGTCAAGGGCTCCAAGGACAAGAGCCGGTATCTGCGGTGCAAGAAGAGTTCGTCGAAAGACAAGATCCGCCGATTGGCGCTGTATCGGCGAAAAGATGCGCCTGCTCCACGTGTCACCAAGGATCCTCCGGCTTACATCAAGAGCTTGTTAGGCCGCTCATGGGTCGAGACGGTCCAGAGTTTCTGGGCCTTCACGGGCAGGACATCGAATATCAACCAGGGCCGGCATGGGGCGGATGAATTGTATCTCCTCTGGTCGCCCCGTGAATAGGTCGCGGCCAGGTAGGGACTTGTGACGTCTAGGCTAGGGTACTCGTGTGCTTGAATGCGCTTGCTAGCAATGAGAGGCACGTGTGCTATATTTCCAGTGGTTTGATTTGCGGCGGTGACTTCCAGGAGCAGGGTGATGTGAAGATTATGGCAGCGGTGGCGTGCTTTTGAGACAATTGTAGAGAAACGGCAATGCAGAAAACAGCCAAGCAGAGAATTGGCATGATTGCGTGCTCTGCCGTCTACGCGGAACCAGCTACAAGGAGCAACACACGGTAGCAAACTCCCGACGTTGCCTGGACAATGTCACATGTGTAGCGGCGCACTTGTACAGAGTCTAGACACGTTTCGTAGAGGCAATGACCTATTTAGAGACGTCCCCTATCTTGGCCACTCTGCAGGAACAGTTGGGATTGAACCGTCCAAGTTGTACTCTTGAGCGTCGTTTTGGAACCAGTCCCGGGAGGCGAAAGTCACAGCCCTCGGCATGATGGCCCGGCAAGTGAAGATCTCGGACACGTGGCGGCTCATGCGTTGAATGTGTGCTCTGGAGAGTGTTCAGCTCGTTCAGATGATGACGGCGATCCCAAAAGAATAAAAACATGGGCATCCAATGTGTGGCCCGGGGTGCCGTCAGAGTAGGAATCAATGTACAAGTTGTGGTCAAGACAGCCTCAAGTTCACACTCTCATCTCTCGTAAGGATGCCCGGTGCCAGGAGTCAATCGTTTCCCGACACGGCTTGATGTGTCTGGACTCTGGAGCGCCACGCCTGTTTTCGGACATCGGCACACTTTTTACCAAGTTGACGGAGCGCCTTGCCAGGGTGCCTCTTCGGTCGGCTCGGCCAATAGCAGGCCCCTGATACGTTGGACATCAGGTCAGCCCCGGAGCGATCGGAGCCGAACATGACGGAACATTGAATAAAGTTTATTTCTAGCACCCCAGCTCGGGCACCGGAACCGGCTCAACACCACATCTCTAGCCACCGAGTACAGCACTGATAAGGCCTGCTGATAACGGATTACCAGTTTGGACCTGCGCATGGTGATTGGTTTCCACATGCCCGGCGCTGGAGATTGCGCTGCCCGAGCGCCGGCGATCATTGAGCATCATGTCCAATACTATCCTCGACTGATAACTACCTAGGTACTCCGTAAAGAGGCAAAAAGGTAAAAGGCACCCGGGTACCGCGCGCCATGCTACAGTACGGAGTAGCGTATACCTGTTGATAAGCGACGGTTGCGCCATGAAATGTCTCACTTGTAGACAATCACTTCACCTCATCTCTGCAACTCGGCAACTCTTAAAGAGACAATGGAACTCGCCGCCTCCAGAGCAGCTCAAGCCTAAACCGCACACCTCCCCCTTCATTTTGCCTGCAGGCCACTCCACGACGGCCCGCCATGTCTGCCATGACAATCCGCTCCCTCACACCCACCGAGGTGGTCTACGCCGTGGGCGAAGCTGGCGCGCGCAAGGGGACCACGAGAGTAGACAAGGTCTTTTTCAGCGGCGTGTCGGCCGGCTGCTTGCTGGCATTTGCCTGCGGAACGGTGCTGAGCACCAACACGGCGCCGGCGTGGCAGGAGAACGCCCCCGGCCTGATCCGGACCGTTGGCGCCGTCGTCTTTCCCTACGGACTGTGCATGATTCTGCTCACGGGGGCAGACTTGTGTACGGGGTCCTTCATGGTGCGGCCGCCTTTCCCCCCGGCCGTGATGGCGACGGGTAAACGACTAACAGCCGTGTCCAGTTCACCACGGTTGCTGTTCTGCAGCGGCGTCTTTCCTGGTCCAAGATGCTGCTGCACTGGCTGGTGACGTTCCTGGGCAACCTTGCCGGGTCGCTGTTTGTGGTTGCCGTGATATTCGGCTACGGGGAGACGTTTTCGGCCGAGCCGTACCGGGCCGAGGTGGTGGCCTTTGCGACCAGGAAGCAGGTCTCGCCCGGGTTTGCCATGATTTTCCTGCGCGGCATCGGCTGCAACTGGCTCGTGTGTTTGGCGTGCTTCCTAGGGATGCAGGGGCGAGACGTGGCGAGCAAGGTCGTCGGGATCTGGTGGCCGACGTTTGCCTTTGTGTCGCTGGGGTTTGACCATGTCGTGGCAAACATGACGTTTATCCCCATGGCCATGTTCCTCGGGGCCCCGAACATTACGGTTGGCCTGTACATCTGGAAGGGAATCGTACCCACGCTCTTGGGCAATGTCTTGGGCGGAGGGTTGTTTTGTGGTGTGTATTGAACTTGACGCTGTTTCTGGCTGTTGGGCATCCGACTGACATGATGATGACTCTAGGCATGTACTACTGGTACATGTACGCGCTGGACACGGCAGACTTGATACGGCAACGCGGCGAGACGGGCAAGACAAACGGGTATAGCGTTGACGTGGAAGCCGGCGTGAATGCTTGAGCTAAGAGGGAGTTGATGTTTAAGTATACATGACTATTGACCACATTCAGCCCAAGGACCGGTATCCATAAGACTAGATATTCCATTGAACCATGAAATCGATAGTTGGTATGACAGCCGACGCCTCCCTCATGGCGTTGCTTGTATTTCTTGACCCCTTTATTACATGCTGTAACAAATAGACTGCTATACACTTTGGCGCCGTACGCCACGCACACTGCGAATAACATTGTTTCCATTCCCCCCAATTAACTCGGCCTCACCCAGACAGCTGTGGCCGGTTCAACCAGCCCCTGATGGTCGTCCTCGCCCGCCGGCGCCTCCAAAGTGATTGAGCTCACCATGCGGATTTTGACGCCGTCAAAGCCGAGAACAAACACTTTGCCAGACTCGCTATCCGTCATGGCCATGATGTGCTGCGGCAAGTCGCTGTGCGCCAATCTGACCGGCCACGGCGCGGGCTCAATGGCGTTGGCGATGCCGCCGCTCGTCGGCGTCTCCCAAATGTCGACGGCGGCGGTCCGCTTCAACGTGCCGTCCTGGTTCAGCGCAAAGGCGGACACGTAGCCCCTGGTGCGGCTCTCGAGGCCCCTCGTAGACGCAAACAGGTACTCGGGACCTGCGTCGCCAGACGTGCCGGAGAGCCGGACCTCGTCGGCCCAGTAGTCGCGGGCGTTTTCCCCCTCTGGCAAGAGGCTTGCGGCCTGGGCGTGACGCAGCGCGGCGACAGCCCCCTGCGCGTCTCTCTGTATGCGAAAGACGTCGACGATGCTGCTGTGCTCCTGGACAACGTAGAGCACGTCGCCGTTGGGGTGCGGCCAGGCGTGTCGCGGGCCGTCGTCGTCCCTGGGCGCCGCGTGCCGCCGCTGGTCGTGAAGCACACGCCGGCCCGTGTCGTCGACGGAAAACGTCCACGTGCAGTTTCTCCCAATGTCGGCGACGTACAGCGTGCGGCCGTCGGGGCCGAGGTCGCAGCCGTGTGCCCCGTGGCGGAGGCCGCCGAAATCGCCGTGGGGGACGGCATCCGGCGCCTTCGGGGCGTCTGCCTCTTGGTCGCCGGCAAAGTCCAGTTCCTGCACGAGGGGGCCTATCCCGCCGCCGTGCTCGACCCGAAAGACCTCGCCCGTCGGGCCGCCGACGCTGAAGATGTGCGAGCTGGAGCCGGTGACGTAGCCCGGCTTATTCCGGACGGGCCGGGAGCCCAGCAACTCCAGCTGCTGCGTCGAGCCGTGGTTCCGATACGCAGCGACGCTACACGTCGGCTTCGTCCAGGCCGTTGCGTACAGGGTCCGCTGGTCCGGGGAGAGCGAGAGCCATGAGTGAGGGCCGATGGCGTTGGTAATGCGGAGGACATGCAGTTGGTTCCCGTTTGGGTTGAAGCGCAGGGAAAAGATGTAGGGGAGGTTAAAGGTTCCGACATAAAAGTCTAGAGCGTCGCCTGCTCCTGTAGCATTGTCGAGGTTGGCGGGGTTTTCGGCGGCGCGCTGCATGCTGTCACGGAAGAGGAAGCGATGGGTCTGGAGATGCAACATGCAATCCTGTCAACCACGCGCCCTGGTGTTGCGTACACTGTTTCTCGGGCCAGGGGCAAAGGCACACAAGTTGAAGCGACGTGTCAACCGTCGAGAATCAACCAGCCGTGGCTTTAATAAAGGCGCAGCAGAACGTATACCTGTGCATAAGACTGACAACCGCCCCGGACCTTGCGGAGGAACGGAGACGGCTTAAGTAGCCCCGTTCGGCGGACTCCCAGCCAGTCAGGTGACGAGGACTAGACCCGGAATGGAAAGTACCTGCGGGTTTCGGGTGACGGGGACGGGACGGAGGGCCGATGCCAAGACATTGATCAATCTTCCGAGGCAGCTGCAGACTGGACTGCCAAACAGGGATGCAGATGCGCCTTGGCTGCAGGGGAACACGGCCTGCACCCTCTGCTCGTCGGGACTCGGGACTTTGGCGGCTATAAAGGCGCAGTGGCTGGCCAACTTGGCCCATCGGGTCATTGATTCTCTCACCGGATGTTCCACCGCCATGTCTTTGCCCGCCGAGTCAAAAATAGACGTCCTCATCATCGGGGCCGGCCCGGCAGGGCTGATGATGGCGACATGGCTGGCCAGGTGCGGCGTCGGCGCGCGCATCGTAGACAAGCGCGGCACCAAAATCTTCAACGGCCAGGCAGACGGCCTGCAGTGCCGGACGCTCGAGATCTTCGACTCTCTGGGCTTCGCGCACCGCGCGTGGCGCGAGTCCAACCACCTGCTGGAGATATGCCTGTGGAATCCCGACGAGCACGGCCGCATCCGCCGGAGCGGCCGCATCCCCGACACAATCCCCGGCATCAGCCGATTCCAGCAGGTGGTGCTGCACCAGGGCCGCATCGAGCGGTTTCTCCTCGACGCCGTGGAGGAGGCGGGCAGCGACATCCGGGTCGAGAGAGGTGTCGCGCCCACCAGCATTGACATTGACGAGTCGCGGGTGGACGACGACGACGCACACCCCGTCACCGTCAGGCTGCGCCGTCTTTCGGAGGAGGAGGCGACGCCGGAGCAGGCCGCGGGCTCTGGCGACGACGGCGCACCGGTCCAGG